ACATTTTTTCTTCATGCTACTCAAAACAGATCACAAAATTTAGATCCTCTATCATTAATATTTGTAATTAGAATTGGAATTTCATCTTGCTAATGCATGCAATAAAGAATTTTACTAGGTATTTTACATATTACAGTTCAAACGGCACATAATTGGAGTCAAATTTTACTGCATCTAATTTCTGTTCTTTACCTGATCGACCAAAAAGTGGCTTTCGAGAAAGTCAACAAATTGAGCATCGTTGTTTTCACTTGCTAACTGCATAGTGATAAAAACTAGTCATTGGCATAATAACATTGTCACACAGAATAAATACAGAAAAATGAAAAGATATATAGAAAATTCCATTTGGAGATAGTGTGACTAAAAAGGGTTTAAGTTGAATTGACAGAAAAATGAGAAAATAAAGTTATATAGAAGTTGTACCCTGTGTAAATTTAAAAGCTTCTCATTGTTCATCCTTTCCAAAGACAATGCAAGTTCCATTGCTGTTAAAATAGGACGAAACAGAAATCGTAAGTGTAATTAGAGAAACTGAGAAACCATTCAAGAGTACAGATAATAGAACAAAAAACACTCATCAAGGATGAGCTAAGCAAGGTTAAAAGAAAACAATGTTTATTAATTACGTATATATGAAAAACTGAAAAACTTACCATATAATGCATCACCCTTTTCTGCATGATCAAACTCTGAAAATGGCATTATCATTGACAGCAGCTGAACCTTACCTCCTCTTTTGTTCTGGTAATATCGTCAGGAAGAAAATTAATTTACAAAAGGAATGCTAGAAAAATTACTGCCATGAAGAACATGAATCAATGATATAGAAAAATGCCTGATATTCCATCATCGTCTCAGCATGTTGTCTTTCCTCCATACTTGCGTCCTTAAAAAATCTGAAAAATTGTGTAATTTAGCAGCAATTATGTAATAGTAAAATTCAAACACAGAAGAACCTGAGATTTTGGAGTCTATTACTTGGCCAATCCTTTCAGAGCAACATTATCTCTGTCGAAATAGGCGTACATGGCATGATACACGTAGGAGACATTGTATTCCACGCTGAATCAAAACAAAACCACACTGGCATCAGATATATTTTCATGAACATAATACTTTTTAGAAAATCGCTACATCTGAAAGGAACTATATATGAAGCTGACTTGATCTGTGCATTGAGTGCAGCCTCAGACTGATCTGTGTAGTTCTGGCGAGCCAGTGACGCATGGAGCTCTGTGGGGATGACAAGAAGCTCTTTTTTCACTTCCTCAAAAGGTTCAAACGCTGTATTCAAAATGGGTTCGTTCATCATAGCCTTAGCCACAACCCCACAATCCCCATTGCTCTTGGAGAATCTCACACCATTCTCAGGTTTGAAAAAGGGTCCTGAGGAAGACAGAGAAGGGCCAAGCTTCAGTCTTTCAGAGAGCGAGACACACACGGATGAAGAACTTCCCAATATCATGGTCAAAAGACTCAGAAGAACCCTCTGAAATCAGAAAAAGATAGAGAGAAACACAAGAATCAATTGGGTAGGTGAATTGTGATGATGCTAACAGTAATAATAATCAGAGAATTTGAGAATAATTAACTTTTCAAACTAGATTCACTTTGAGAAATGGTTCATCCTTTTCCTCTCTTTCCTATAACCAACCCTCTCCTATGAACAATATTTGATGGATGTGGATCACAAGTTATGTATTCATTCTTTAATGGATTTTGATTTTGAGTTTATTTTTCTATTTAATGATTATTAATTAACATAGAATAAACCGACATGGTCACACTTTTGTTGTGCGTAGAGTAATTATTGTATTATGTTCTACATACAACATTAAATTTTACAAACATAAAAGAAAAGAAAAGAAGTTATTATTTTTATTCATTTGGTCCCCTCTCTCTAATTGCATAATATGTAAGGTAACGAATCGATAAATGCGGAAACAATATTGCATATATAATTTGTAGTGAATAAATGAAACAATATCTTATCTCTTTTGTTTGTTATATTTATATTTATTTATATATTTTTCTACCTTTTTGGTCTATCTTTCACTAAATAATTTTTTGCATATCCAAAAATAATTTTGATGTATTAGAAGAAAAAACTGTAGTTAGAAGTTTCTGAATGTCACACCTCTAACATTTCAATTATTAATTAAATTGATATAAATCCTTGTTCAACACTCCAATCGACCTACTAATAAAATTTCAATTATTAATATAAATCCTTATGAACATCAAAAGTTGGACAATGTTTTCCTGCATTCTTTTTTTCCGCCCCCATAAAACATGATAATCGGAAATTGTCCAATATTAAAAGTTATTCTTTTCGATTTATGCAATCGAAATGTATTTAAAAAGAATATATTATATGTAAATTACTCTTAATAATATTAAAATAATATCCTTACTAATAAATAGAATATAATGAATGTAGAAGAAAAAAAAAATATTCATATAAGCTCTAAATATTAGGTGAAATTATTCTGGTTGGTCTTCATTTTATCTGCAATTTCAATTATGATATTGTTATTAAAATATTTAAATTATTCTTAATGACAATAAAGAAGTATTTTTCCTAATTAGTATAATTAATCTAGACAACAAATAACATTTACCTATTATTATAATAATAATAAATAATAACAATGATAATAATGATGATGGATTAATGTATTTTGAATCTTGTTTGTTTCGATAGGGATTTGTAAGGTTCAAAGACTAATATTTTTTGACGTGTCTTTCTTGTCTTTGACTGTCTGGAACGCCTGAATCGTCTGTCTTTCTTTAGTCTGGGCCACTTGCTTCTTTATGATCACTCGGTCTCCTGCTGTTGGTCGTTCGGTAATGGTACGAATCGCTCGATCTCCTTCTTGACAGAGGGGGAGGTACTTGCTAAAGGCACTCTGACGCTCATGTTAGGCGTAGGTTATTGAGCCTTAACTCTCAAGAAAGTGATTTTGTTATCACTATAGAGTATTTTTGAGTGTGAGTAGAACGTACCTGGCTTTTAGCCTTGGCCTTGTATTTATAGATTATCACAAGCCTAATAAAATATAAGCAGACTTACCTTAAACAGATTTACCTTAAAATCTAGTCGGTTGCTCATAAACAGCTTTATGAATATCTTTAATCAGATATCTTTATTATTTTTGTCCTCTGTTGGATTATTAGCCCAACTACCTTATATGCTGACCCAATTGTGGCCCAACACCTTTTAACCTGATTTGACATGGTTGACGAGCCCTGTTACAGTAGATAGACTAAACGATCTTGTATGTTAACCATTCGGTCCCTGATTATATACCATACATATGCCTCCCAAGTCCGACTTAATTGTTCGGCTTTACCCATGATTAACTATAGGACTTATGAGTTTGGGGGAGGTTGTATTTGCTGTATTGGGGAGCGTGCTTCTAAGTGTTGCTCATATGTGGATCGAACGGCGGGATTTATGAGTTTTTCTTTTGAAATTTGCNATTTCAGCGTCATCAGCATGTGCACGACAAAAGGCAAAGAGGTTTTCTACCTTAAAAGAATGTATCATGAGAGAAACAAAATGATGATAAACCAATATGCAGATTTTACAGAGATGGCAAGAGAATTCCTGTTACAGAAATAGGCAATTAAACCCCTCCAACGCAAACTCCTCACCTTTCTCCTTGAACCTTCTCACAACACCCAAACCCCAAGCCTCTTCCGACCTCCCCGAAGATACCAATTGGTGCTACAGCGAGATCTTGAACACCGTTAAGAAGGGTAAAGTCGAGCGAGTCAGGTTCAGTAAAGACGATTCCACCCTCCAACTAACCATCGTTGACGGTCGTCGAGCCTCCGTTATCGTCCCTAATGACCCCGACCTCATCGACATGCTCGGCCATGAACGACGTTGACATTTCCGTCGCCGAAGCCGAATCGCCTAACAACTTGTTCAACATCATTGGCAATTTGTTCTTCCCCTTTCTAGCATTCGCTGGGTCATTCTTCCTCTTTCGCAGAGTTTCAAGAAGTCCCCGAAACCAGCGTTGAAGAGGTATTGGATAACGTTTTCAAAGAACATAAAGAAAAACAAAAAGAGGCAAAAGAAGACGGCGTTGAAGTGGAGGATGAGGATTTTGTCGACGTTCTTCTCAAAATTCAAGATGAGAGAACGAATTAGGGTTTTCAAAAAGTCTTCCCCTTTTTTCTTTGTCTGCGCCTTTTGATTCTTCTTAGGATTAATCACCTTAGCAGGTATGTTCCCTTTAACCATTCAATTCCAATTTCAATTTTTCTTCAAAGATAACATTGCTTTTTGTCTCGTGAATTTTGGGTTTTAATTGGGTTTTTTTATTTTGATATCAGAATGGTTTTTGTTGCAGTGGTGTGATTGTAGAATGAAAAATAATGAAGAATGACTGGAAAAGTTGGAAGATGAAGTAGAAGAGGAAAAACAAAGAAAGATTGCAGCTTTTGAGCGTTGGAAGAGATGGGAGAGAGAAAGTGATGAGACAAAAGAAGAAGAAGAAGAAGTTGATTTCAGGTGTGATGTGAGGTGGAGGAAAAGGCACCAAGCATTGTTGATGAGCCTGTGAGTGGAAGACGATGAAGACTTTTAATCCCTAACATTTTTAATTAAATTTTATGTCATGTCATTACCTACAAAAATTTCACGTAATATAATAATGTCATATCAGTATTTTAAGTGTGACCACGTCAACACAGGCAAACGACGTTACTGATATTTTAACGGAGAGAGCATAATTGACTCATTTTAACAAGTTTAAGGACCCAATTGAGACAAAATAAACATAATGACCCACTTGAGATTTACACACAAATATGAGGACCAAATAAGAGTTTAAACCTACATATAAAATGTTTTTATTGAATCCTGGAGGACCCAAAATTCCTTTTTTTTTAGTAATAATGTAAGACTGGACTAACATACGCCATCTTTTCTTTTATCATGGCATCTTTATTCAAATAATTAAACACATATATGCACGCCCAGATTCAAGGTTCACTCATGTCTCGAAATTAACTTCAACCCAACTACTTTGACTAGACTAATATTCCAACAAACATTAAAAAGAAACATGTACATCAAAAAGAAGCATGGGAAAGGAGAGCGAAACGGGATTGACGTAAATATGTATGAGTTCATGGGCATGATGTTTTCTGCTTAGACGATTGCAAGAAATAGTAACATTGCATATAGCTATCATGCAGCTACACCTCCATTTAGGAGCATCTGATCAAAGTGCCACACACCTGCAAGTCCAACAACAATACTTCAATTTCACCAAACATATGGAATATGAATCAACCCTTTGGCTTATACAAGCAACAAATTACCATGTCCTTTGCCCACCCTTCTTAACTGAGCCACATATTCTGAAATCTTCTTAATATCTTCCACCTTTAAGAAAAGAACAGAAACTAATGAGAACATTTTTTCTTCATGCTACTCAAAACAGATCACAAAATTTAGATCCTCTATCATTAATATTTGTAATTAGAATTGGAATTTCATCTTGCTAATGCATGCAATAAAGAATTTTACTAGGTATTTTACATATTACAGTTCAAACGGCACATAATTGGAGTCAAATTTTACTGCATCTAATTTCTGTTCTTTACCTGATCGACCAAAAAGTGGCTTTCGAGAAAGTCAACAAATTGAGCATCGTTGTTTTCACTTGCTAACTGCATAGTGATAAAAACTAGTCATTGGCATAATAACATTGTCACACAGAATAAATACAGAAAAATGAAAAGATATATAGAAAATTCCATTTGGAGATAGTGTGACTAAAAAGAGTTTAAGTTGAATTGACAGAAAAATGAGAAAATAAAGTTATATAGAAGTTGTACCCTGTGTAAATTTAAAAGCTTCTCATTGTTCATCCTTTCCAAAGACAATGCAAGTTCCATTGCTGTTAAAATAGGACGAAACAGAAATCGTAAGTGTAATTAGAGAAACTGAGAAACCATTCAAGAGTACAGATAATAGAACAAAAAACACTCATCAAGGATGAGCTAAGCAAGGTTAAAAGAAAACAATGTTTATTAATTACGTATATATGAAAAACTGAAAAACTTACCATATAATGCATCACCCTTTTCTGCATGATCAAACTCTGAAAATGGCATTATCATTGACAGCAGCTGAACCTTACCTCCTCTTTTGTTCTGGTAATATCGTCAGGAAGAAAATTAATTTACAAAAGGAATGCTAGAAAAATTACTGCCATGAAGAACATGAATCAATGATATAGAAAAATGCCTGATATTCCATCATCGTCTCAGCATGTTGTCTTTCCTCCATACTTGCGTCCTTAAAAAATCTGAAAAATTGTGTAATTTAGCAGCAATTATGTAATAGTAAAATTCAAACACAGAAGAACCTGAGATTTTGGAGTCTATTACTTGGCCAATCCTTTCAGAGCAACATTATCTCTGTCGAAATAGGCGTACATGGCATGATACACGTAGGAGACATTGTATTCCACGCTGAATCAAAACAAAACCACACTGGCATCAGATATATTTTCATGAACATAATACTTTTTAGAAAATCGCTACATCTGAAAGGAACTATATATGAAGCTGACTTGATCTGTGCATTGAGTGCAGCCTCAGACTGATCTGTGTAGTTCTGGCGAGCCAGTGACGCATGGAGCTCTGTGGGGATGACAAGAAGCTCTTTTTTCACTTCCTCAAAAGGTTCAAACGCTGTATTCAAAATGGGTTCGTTCATCATAGCCTTAGCCACAACCCCACAATCCCCATTGCTCTTGGAGAATCTCACACCATTCTCAGGTTTGAAAAAGGGTCCTGAGGAAGACAGAGAAGGGCCAAGCTTCAGTCTTTCAGAGAGCGAGACACACACGGATGAAGAACTTCCCAATATCATGGTCAAAAGACTCAGAAGAACCCTCTGAAATCAGAAAAAGATAGAGAGAAACACAAGAATCAATTGGGTAGGTGAATTGTGATGATGCTAACAGTAATAATAATCAGAGAATTTGAGAATAATTAACTTTTCAAACTAGATTCACTTTGAGAAATGGTTCATCCTTTTCCTCTCTTTCCTATAACCAACCCTCTCCTATGAACAATATTTGATGGATGTGGATCACAAGTTATGTATTCATTCTTTAATGGATTTTGATTTTGAGTTTATTTTTCTATTTAATGATTATTAATTAACATAGAATAAACCGACATGGTCACACTTTTGTTGTGCGTAGAGTAATTATTGTATTATGTTCTACATACAACATTAAATTTTACAAACATAAAAGAAAAGAAAAGAAGTTATTATTTTTATTCATTTGGTCCCCTCTCTCTAATTGCATAATATGTAAGGTAACGAATCGATAAATGCGGAAACAATATTGCATATATAATTTGTAGTGAATAAATGAAACAATATCTTATCTCTTTTGTTTGTTATATTTATATTTATTTATATATTTTTCTACCTTTTTGGTCTATCTTTCACTAAATAATTTTTTGCATATCCAAAAATAATTTTGATGTATTAGAAGAAAAAACTGTAGTTAGAAGTTTCTGAATGTCACACCTCTAACATTTCAATTATTAATTAAATTGATATAAATCCTTGTTCAACACTCCAATCGACCTACTAATAAAATTTCAATTATTAATATAAATCCTTATGAACATCAAAAGTTGGACAATGTTTTCCTGCATTCTTTTTTTCCGCCCCCATAAAACATGATAATCGGAAATTGTCCAATATTAAAAGTTATTCTTTTCGATTTATGCAATCGAAATGTATTTAAAAAGAATATATTATATGTAAATTACTCTTAATAATATTAAAATAATATCCTTACTAATAAATAGAATATAATGAATGTAGAAGAAAAAAAAAATATTCATATAAGCTCTAAATATTAGGTGAAATTATTCTGGTTGGTCTTCATTTTATCTGCAATTTCAATTATGATATTGTTATTAAAATATTTAAATTATTCTTAATGACAATAAAGAAGTATTTTTCCTAATTAGTATAATTAATCTAGACAACAAATAACATTTACCTATTATTATAATAATAATAAATAATAACAATGATAATAATGATGATGGATTAATGTATTTTGAATCTTGTTTGTTTCGATAGGGATTTGTAAGGTTCAAAGACTAATATTTTTTGACGTGTCTTTCTTGTCTTTGACTGTCTGGAACGCCTGAATCGTCTGTCTTTCTTTAGTCTGGGCCACTTGCTTCTTTATGATCACTCGGTCTCCTGCTGTTGGTCGTTCGGTAATGGTACGAATCGCTCGATCTCCTTCTTGACAGAGGGGGAGGTACTTGCTAAAGGCACTCTGACGCTCATGTTAGGCGTAGGTTATTGAGCCTTAACTCTCAAGAAAGTGATTTTGTTATCACTATAGAGTATTTTTGAGTGTGAGTAGAACGTACCTGGCTTTTAGCCTTGGCCTTGTATTTATAGATTATCACAAGCCTAATAAAATATAAGCAGACTTACCTTAAACAGATTTACCTTAAAATCTAGTCGGTTGCTCATAAACAGCTTTATGAATATCTTTAATCAGATATCTTTATTATTTTTGTCCTCTGTTGGATTATTAGCCCAACTACCTTATATGCTGACCCAATTGTGGCCCAACACCTTTTAACCTGATTTGACATGGTTGACGAGCCCTGTTACAGTAGATAGACTAAACGATCTTGTATGTTAACCATTCGGTCCCTGATTATATACCATACATATGCCTCCCAAGTCCGACTTAATTGTTCGGCTTTACCCATGATTAACTATAGGACTTATGAGTTTGGGGGAGGTTGTATTTGCTGTATTGGGGAGCGTGCTTCTAAGTGTTGCTCATATGTGGATCGAACGGCGGGATTTATGAGTTTTTCTTTTGAAATTTGCCATAAGCCGAGTGGTAAATGATGAGAGTCCTTTTTAGAACTCCCCCCCCCCTTTTATAAGGTCGAATAGCCAAGCAGGGGAGACTGCTCGGTTGAAGATGCTAGAATAAGGGTGATTGTTCCTCAGCTCTTGGTTTTCGATCTAGGAGTTCCTGGAGAACCTCCCAATAGATGAGAATGATCTTCCGTGGCCCAGGAGTTCCTCGAGAACCTCCCAGTAGACGTGAATGAACGTCAGTGGCCCAGGAGTTCCTAGAGAACCTCCCAATGGACGTGAATGAGCGTCCATGGCCCAGGATTTCCTAGAGAACCTCCAATAGACGTGAATGGTCGTCCGTGACCCAGGAGTTCCTGGAAAACTTCCCAATAGAAGAAATTTGTGAGGCCGAATGGCTGACTGCTTAGACAGTTGAGGCCATGGAAAGCTGAGCAGTTGAGGCCGAGTGACCGAATACTTGTAAGGCTGAATGGACAAGCAGTAGGGGCCGAGAGGCCGAATACTTGAGAGGTCGAATGGCCGAATCCTGGAACGCTTGAGGCCATGGAAGGCCGAACGGTTGAGGCTGAGTGGCCGAACACCTACGAGGCCGAATGACTGAATGCTGGAACGCTTGAGGCCATGGGAGGCCGAACGGTTTAGGCCGAGTGGCCGAACACCTACGAGGCCGAATGGCCGAATACTGGAACGCTTGAGGCAATGGAAGGTCGAACGGTTGAGGCCGAGTGGCCGAACACCTGCGAGGTCGAATGGCCGAATGCAAGAACGCTTGAGGCCATGGAAGGCCGACGGTTGAGGCCGAGTGGCCGAACACCTACGAGGCTGAATGACCGAATGCTGGAAAGCTTGAGGCCTTGGAAGGCCGAACGGTTGAGGCCGAGTGGCCGAACACTTGCGAGGCCATGTGGCCGAACGAACACCTACGAGGCCGAATGACTGAATGCTAAATGCTTGAGGCCATGGAAGGTCGAATGGTTGAAGCCAAGTGGCTGAACACCTTCCTGGTTCCATAATAGGTAGATTGCCTTTATGCTGGCATGCGCTAGGTGTTCTTGGGCGAACATGGCCTAGACTAGGGGAGTGGTCCCCTAGGTTTGATGTGTTGGGTGTTCTTGGGCGAACATGTCCCAAAGGGAGTGTATCCCTATATTTAATGAACTAGGTGTTCTAGGGCGAACATGTCCCAAAGGGAGTGTATCCCTATATTTAATGCGCTTGGGTGTTCTTGGGTTATGCTATAAGGCCGAACGGCCAATTCTGTAAGACTTCTCGGTCTTCGGTTGAATGTTTAGACCAAACTGAAGATTCTGTATTAGGATGTGTCATGGTCGGGATGTAATTGCTTTAGTGTTGTGTCTTGAGGCCATGGGAGACCGAGTAGTGGAGGCCGAAAGGCCGAATACCTTGTGAGGTCGAATGGCCAAAGGGTGGAAGGTTTCACGCTGGATGCCAATTTTGGCTAAGTACCTAAGGCCATGAAGGCCGAGCGGTTGAGGTCGAAGGGCCGAATACGTGGAGGTCGAATGGCCTAATACTTGAGCCGAGCAGTAGATGTCGAATGGTCGAATGCTGGAACACTTGAGGCCATGGAAGGCCGAACGGTTAAGGCCGAGTGGCCGAACACCTGCGAGGCTGAATGGCCGAATGCTGGAACACTTGAGGCCATGGAAGGCCGAACGGTTGAGGCCGGGTGGCTGAACATCTATGAGGTCGGGTGGCTGAACATCTGTGAGGCCGAATGGCCAATTACCTGCAAGGTCGAATGACCTAGTACCTTTGATGTCGATTGACTGAGTACATGTAAGGCCAAATGACCAAATACTTGTGAGGCCGAATGGCTGAATTCCTTTAAGGCCGAATGGCCAAATACCTGAGGCCGAATGACCTAATGCTTGAACACTTGAAGCCATGGAAGGCTGAGCAGTTGAGGAAGAAGGGCCGAATACCTGTGAGGTCGAATGACCGAATTTCTATGAGGCCGAACGACCGAATACTTGTGAGGTCGAATGGCCGAATTCCTGTGAGGCCGAACGACCAAATACCCGTGAGGTCGAATGACCTATACCCGTGAGGCCGAATGGCCTAATGCTTGAACACTCGAAGCTGTGGAAGGCCGAGCAATTGAGGCCGAATGGCCTAATGGTTTAAGCCGAAGGGCCAAATACTTATGAGGCTGAATGACCGGATTCCTGTGAGGCCGAACGTTCGAATGGAAACTGTTTGGTTGATAGGTCGAAGGGCTTGCTGGAGTATTGGTTCACTCCTTTCCATACCGTTCGGGTTAGTGTGATGGGAATGTTGAACCTTCGTGCTTCCGTTGCATCTCCGTTTTTTTCGTGGTCATCATTGGGTTTCTTCAGCTTGCTCAAGTCCCCACGGTGGGCGTCAAAATATTTCGGTGGGGATTTATAGGACCGAGAGACTAAACTTTCCTTACGTGTCTTCCTTGTCTTTGGCTGCCTAAAACGCCTGAATTGCCTGTCTTCCTTCAGTCTGGGCCGCTTGCTTCTTTATGACCGCTCGATCTCCTACTGTTGGTCGTTCGGTAATGGCGCGAACCACTCGGTTTCCTTCTTGACAGAGGGGGAAGGTACCTGTAAAAGGCACTCCGACGCTTAAGTTAGGCGTAGGTTATGGATCCTTAGTTCTCAAGAAAGTGATTTTGTTATCACTGTGGAGTATTTTTGAGTGTGAGTAGAACGTACATGGCTTTTAGCCTTGGCCCTGTATTTATAGGTTATCACAAGCCTAATAAAATATAAGCAGACTTACCTTAAACAAATTTACCTTAAACAGATTTACCTTAAAATCTGGTCGGTTGCTCATAAATAACTTTATGAATATCTTTAATCAGATATCTTTGATTATTTTATCCTCTGTTGGATTATTAGCCCAATAAACTTAAATGTTGGCCCAATTGTGGTCCAACACCTTTTAACCTGGTTAGACCTGGTTGACGAGCATTGTTATAGTAGATAGACCGAACGATCTTGGATGTTAACCGTTCGGTCCCTGATTATATACCACACAAATTTGAATTTAA